CACACAATACTATTTATATTGAAATACTTAGGTACAAATCTAATAAAATATGTACAAGGGCTCTTTGAGTAAAACTGTTGAAATAAATCAAAGAACCAATGTTCACAGATAGGAAAAAGGACCAAAGCAATATGACAGAGGACAGATAGTCTTTTCCACAAATGGTGCTAAAAAAAAAGGATACCCACATTCCAAAAAAATGAATCCAGAAGCTGACCTCAGAAAGGTGAATTTAAATGGGATGTAGACCTAAATGCAAACCTATAAAATTCCCAGAAGATAATGTATGAGAAAACCTAGAGGACCTTGGGTCTGGGGATAACTTTTTAGATAGGACACCAAAAATGTTATCCATGGGGCCAGGGATTTAGCTCAGTGGTGTGGCCGCCTGCCTCACAAGCACAAGGTCTTGAGTTCGATCCCTGGTACGCAAAAAAAAAAAGAAAAATATTATCCATGAATGAAGGAATTCATAATTGCTAATATTATTACAACTGAAATTTTTATTCCACAAAAATCATCATAATGAAAACAAAAGGACAAGTCACAGACACGAAGACACTATTTGCAAAGGACATATCTGATGAAGTACTGTTTAAAAAATATACAAAGAATTCCTACTATGGTTTAGATCTTGAATGTCCCCAAAAGGCTTGGGGTTGAAGTCTTGGTCCTCACCCTGTGGCATTATTAGGAGATGGCGGAACCTTTAGGAGGTGGGGCCTGGTGGAAGTGAGGTCAATGGGTGTGTGACCCTTGAAGGGAATATTGGGATTGTGAACACTTCTTGTCTCTCTGTTTTCCAGCTGCCATGAGATAAACAGGCCTCCTCTGACACATGCTACTGCACAGCCCCAAAGCAGCAGGGCCAAGCAATCATAGGCCAGAACCTCTAAAACCATGAGCCAAAATAAACCTTTCATCCTTTTAAGTTGATTATTTCAGGTGTTTTGTTACTGTGACAGAAAACTGACTTAAAATTCAGCAATAAATTTTTTAAAAATTACTCAAAGACCTTAACACATATTTTACCAAAGAAGATATACAGATGATGAATAATTACATGTATAAATGCTTAATATTATATTCATCAGGGGATTGCAAATTAACCCAAGTTCGATCCCCGGTTCCAAAAAAAAAAAATAAACAACTGTAACTCACAATAGAATGACTGGATTCAAACTGGAAGCAACCAGTAAGATTTTTAAAACCTATGTGTATCAGTTAGGGTTCTCAAAATTAGTAGGAAAAAAAAATATATATATATATGGTAATAAGGGATTTTTAGGAAGACTTATAGGATCAAAAGGAGAGTCCACAATGGCCATCTGTGCACTGGAGAGCTGGCAGATCCAGTAACTGCTCAGTCCAAAAGGCTGGAAGCTGCAGAACCACAGGTATCAAGGATACAGCCCCAGTCTGAGACTGAAGGCCTGGAAGCTCCCTGGAGTAACCTTGCATGAGTCTGGGTTGAAAAGCTGAAGAAAGTGGAATCTGATGTCCACAGGTGATGGGAAAAAGCATGCAGCAGCTCAAGCAGAATGGAGTTCTTCAAAACATATATGAACTTTCTATTTCCATCCAGGCTACAAGCTTATTGGATGGTGCCACCCACAGTCCGGGTGGATCTTCCCCACTTGGTTTGCTGCCAGTCACCTTTGAAACACCCACAGACACACCCAGAAGTGCGCTTTCCTAATCTCCTAGGTGTGCTTTACCAATCTCTTGACATTTTGCAATTACTGGTCACACTGTGGTGCAACCATACAATGGAATGTTATTCAGCAATAAACATCAACAAACTTTCACATCGTGAAAAGACAAAGAGGAAGCTTAAACCCATATTGTTAAGTAAAAGAAGTTAAAATTAAAAGTTTACAAACTATAATTTCAACTATATGACATTCTGGGAAAGGCTGCTTCTTATGCGTCTTGCACATTAAAATGATTATGAGCTTGTGTGGATTTACAAGGCTAAACATTTTCTCTTTTGGGCAAGAAGAGCACTCCTCACTTTAAGTCTTTTGATGACGAAATGCTATCTTAGAGGACCCCACAGTGACACCCAGTGCACAGTTCCCCTCTACTGTCCCAGCCTCACTCAATCCCTGACTGAGTGGCTCTATCCTCTCCCATGTTCAAGCTCTCTCCCTTGAAATTGTGCATTATTTGGGATTGAAGGAGGGCAGATCTTGGAAACCATGTATGACTTGGCTCCATCATCCAGAATTGTCACAGATGGGATAGTGGCCCTAGGTTAAAACAAAGATTAAGCAAAGATTATCACTCCCTTGAGTCCCCTGAATACCAGACCCCCCTAAAGACAGCATTCGTTAAATAAATGAGCCATTAAGTTGAGAACAGGTGTTTGGAAATAGCCATGTTCTCCTGACTTACTGACCCTCGGTAGACATTAGTCTGGTGATAATCTGTAGCTGTAACACAGAGTTTGCTCTGCTGCTTGAAAGATTTGGCCTTCTTTACACTTTTGAGGTAATTCCCACCCTCTGATCTCCCATGAAGGGACCCTGGGGCCAAGCAGGTGGCACTCACAGAACTGCTTTTCTCTCTCGGCTCAGAGGTACACAGACAGTTGATAAACCATCCTGGCAGCCACAGTGTTAGTCTCGCTCAGCTGGAATGAAGTCTGGGGGCCCACAGTCCCAGCCTGTGTTTTCACATGGTGGTGACCCTCAATGTATTTGGCAGTTTCTTATGTGAACTGCTTTCCCTGATGGACTTTGATGAAATCCATTTGCATGAACACAAGGTAATTCTATCCACAGGAGTAAATGGTACAAATAAATTCTCCAAGTTCCATCCAGCATTTGGAGGGGTGGTCCAAATTTGGAAGGGTGGTGGTCTGAAAAGATAAAACTATTAGAGATTTTAAAAGTTATTTTGATGTTCAGTAACCATTAAAATTTCTGCTTACTAACTAAATGAAAATTAGAGGTTTTTTTGAACCCAGAGCCTTAGCACTGATTTATATCCCCAGCCCCTCCTTTTTAATTTTTTTTGAGACAGGGTCTGGCTAAATTGATCAGGCTGAGTTACAGCTTGCAATCCTCCTGCCTCAGCCTTCCTGATGCTTTTTGTTTAAGCTTTTTCAGTCTCATTCGTTAATCTGCATGTCCAAGTATAGAATTCCTTTTGGCGAGGTGGGCAGCCAAGAGTGCACGGAATAAAGCAGAGACAGGCATGGAGTGGGAAACAGACTTGGTGACTTGCATCTAGGCCCTGGCTCACATGGGCCACCTACCCCAGTACTAACCAGCAGTTCTCAAGAGTTGGCCCATGCATGGCTGTAACTGTCATCAGTGGCAAGAAACAGAAATAGTTTGGCCTTGAGTAAGAAGAGAAGGGTCAGGAAGGAAGAAGAGAGGTGATAGTAATTGTGGTAGTAACAGAAACAGTCATTTAATAATTGGGTTAGGAGAGACACAAGGAACCCAGAGCACACACGACATAGAGCTAAGGAGCAGGAAATGATCCAGGCCTCCAAAAGAGGCAGAAAGCAGAACCGGTCACACCCCTCTGTATTCTTCCCCAGCACCCCTTTCTGCAGGCACCCCATCCTGCAGGTAGGCTAACCAGATACTCGGTCCACATGGCAGGAAACTACTGTGTTGACCGCAGCTTCTCTTACTCTAAGAATAAGACAGAAATCTTACAAACGAACACAGACTGAAGTCAAACTTTTGTTAACGTCAATTCCAGACTTTCCTAAGAAAAAAATCTGAGGGTTCATGCTTGAAACAGTAGTCTGATGAGGTCTAATCAACTGGCCAAGAGCTACAGAGACCAAACACCTCCTTACCTGTTTGAATTACCCACAGTTAATTGTGGTCCAGAAACATTAAGTAGAAAATTTCAGAAGAAAATAGTTCATAAGTTTTAAATAATTTCTATTATGGTATATTGTTTGACTTTTTCTATTTCATGATTAGTTTTTGTTAATCTCTCATCATGCCTAATTTATAAATTAAACTTTATGATAGATATGGCTGTGTAAGAAAAAGTACAGTATAGGTTTGGTATTATCTGGGGTTTCAAGTATCCACAAAGCGTTTTGGAACATATCCTCCAAAGGGGAGGTATTGCTGGAGTGTGATTACAAGGAGCCCACCCCTATGGGCAAGGGGGAACAGTTGGATGATCTGGAACCCTGAGAAACCCCGCCCCAAATATCCTTTAGATTCCATCCACAAGATACAAAGATTTATCTCTGAGTATTACCAACCTGTGTTGTTGGATTTTCATTTTCTTTGCATTGGTTTGGTTTGCTCTTAGTCTGACACAAGAATGTCCTTGAAAAATTTGCTAATACTTAACTTGTTCTTTATTAGAAACAATACTTTATGTGTGTTTTACCTGATTAGAAGAGTTTTTAGGGAGTGACAAAGAGAAAATTCATATGGAAGGTTTGTTTTAGCTCTTTCAAATCTGTACAGAAAACAAAATATTTGAAGAGTGTGATCCTTACACCATCCCCAGGGAAAGAAACAAGTTGAGTATATTGTATTTTCTTCCTTAAGGATAAGAAATATGTTTATTTCAAAAGAGAAGAGATGTTTTGGATTACACCTAAGAAAATAATTTTAGGTATCTAAGACTGTATCACAAATGATTTTTTCTATAAGACACAGAAAATATGAAAATTGTGTTCCCATCAAATTATGCCCTTATCCATTTTTCCTTTTCCAATTGTATTTGTGACTTCTGAAAAGAATGCAGTGCTATTGTGAGAGGCGAACTCAGCCTACAGCTGTGCTTGCCCCCTCTGCTCCCCCAGGACCTTATTCTAACTGCAGGAGACAGCAGCATGGCAGGAAATCATTATGATCCAGCTGCTACACTGGATGGGGCTGAAAGGCCCAGCTGCAATGAGTTGAGGGTATTAGAATCCATTCTGGGGATTTACTTTCCTTTGAAAAAGCTTCTATTTCCTCACACCTGTGAGATCTTAACAGCCTTTGCTTTGCCCTTTTTCCCCCCAGGCTTGACGCAGACATGAACGCTGATATGGTGTGTCACACTCTGGAGTTCTGTAAGCAGGACTCTGGCAGACCACAGTGCCATCTCTACCCCTTGCCTAAGGTGAGTGGGTCCCACTCCCAATGTGTTTCCAGTAGCATGCAAGCTCTTTGGAAATGCTGTACATAGAGGCTCAGCTTCACTTGCTCAGTGGTTTGGGGACAGAAGAGGCAAGGTGACATTTTCAATTACTCCATATGAAATAAATTCATCTAGTTTCAACCTAGATTCCTCCTCCCATACTCCAAAGGATGTCTTTGTTGTCCAGATGTTGTGGACAATGATCTTGATCTGAGATGGTAGGGGACAGAGCTGGTCAACCAAAGAAAAAAGAGGCTTAAATACTTCTCCCACTTAAAAAGCAAGTCCTTCTTATAAGGTGACCAACTCATCCAAGGTTGCCTGGAGCTTTTCCAGGATAAGAACTAGAAGCCCATATCCTGGGAAAACCTGGGCGGTTGATCACCCTAGTCTGAGCTTTATTGTCCTTACCTGTAAAATGCCTGACAATTTTGTCATGGAAAGAAAGGAACCTAATATATGCAAATTTTATTAGTGCAATGCTTGCTGCATAAAAAGTGCTAATAAAAATGAGAGTCCCTAAGATTATTATCGATGCATTATTATTCAGGGTTCAGAATACCCAGTGTGCAATATAGCACTTCGGGTTACTTTTAATTGGATTGCAATCATAGACAAGGCTGTTATTGTTGGCACAACTCCCTCCCAGCACTCTGGATCAGAATATAACAATAAAGGCAACCAGGCCTCTACTGATTTTCAGCAGCTTCCTATAAGAAAAAAATATCTGTACTGTGCCTCCTTTCACAGAATTATGGGTTTTCTGTACAAAACACAATTTTCTACTATAATAGTTTTCTTTTTATTCATGTTGAAATGAAATCAATTGGAGTATTTGAGGGGCTAACCAATGCATACAATTTTGTGACTGACAATATTAAATATCCTAAGTGTGTTTCCTTGAGCATGAAGAAAGGAGGCAAATACTTGGGATCCATGTAGCTCATATTTCTGAGGTTACTGACTAAATGCCAATTTAATTCCCCTAGCCCACCTAAGAAGTGTGGACTCCACGGCTTTGTAGAAGAGTGAAAAAAACTCATGTGTTCAAATGTGTCTGAACCACTTTCTCTGCTGAGCTACAAAGCCTGACACCAGCTCAAAGGAGGATAGGTTTATTTTGGCTCACAGTTTATAGAGGCGTCAGTCCATAGTCAGCTGGCTCCAAGTCAGGGTGGCATGGCAGAGGAGAAAGAGTTCATGGTGTGGTACAGAAAGCAGAGAGAGAGAGAGAGAGAGAGAGACCAGGGAGGAAGGAGACAGACCCTTCCAGGCCACACCCCCAGTAACCCATCTCCTCCAACCAGGCTTCACCTCCCAACATCACATTTAGCTATAAACCCATCAGTGGATCAAACCTCTGAAGAGTATCACAGCCCCACAATCCAGTCACCTCCCCAAACCCCCACCTGTCAGCCCAGAGACTTTGGGAGGACATCTAGATATAAACCCTAACAAAATGGTACATGACTATTTTATCATGATAATCACTGTTGAATAATATGGGAAGAAGGAAACATGTCTCTGGGTAGGAAAGCAAGTGATTTGGGGTTTTGTGATTTTCACAAGTAACATCATGTTCTACAGATTTGATAACCACAGCTAGACATAGTCAGAAAATGCACAACTTTAAACTGTCCCATTTAAAATGGTATTCCTGGAGGGCAGGCTGGCCCATGCCTGTAATCCCAGAACTTGAGAGGCTAAGGCATGAGGATTGCTTTGAGTTCAAGGCCAGCCTGGACTACATAGCAAGACCCTGTCTTTAAAAAAAATAAAAATTTTTAAAAAGGACATTCTGGGGTCAACATGCCACCACTCCCAGTGCAGAGGAGGAGGCTTCTGGGCCAACATACCGATGCTCCCAGCACAGAGGAGGTGAGCCACGCGGGTGCCAATAGCAGCCCCCCCAAATGAAAAGACAGTTAAACAAGCCTCAAAACCAGACTTCCAGGTCACCTAGAGCAGCCCCAAAGGGAAACAAGATGGAACACTCTGATACCCAAACACCTGGACTCCCTGAACTGGCAACACAAGAGGATCTGGAAAAAATAAAATCAGAAATAATTTCTCAGATAACAGCAGAGATTGTGCCCATAGTGCAAGACATGATTAA